CCATCACAGTCAGGCATCAATTGTACCTGTTTCCCCTTATTAATCACCTTCTTTTTCTTTGCCATACTACTCCCAGATGGTGCTGCTTTCTTTCTCTTTTGTACAACTGTTTGGTGGTTTTGTCCAGTTCCTAATTAGTTTGTTAGATTACTTAGTACACTGTCATGAATATGCACACCAAACTACATTCATGTGCATCTTAACTACTTGTTGAAAAAATGCTACGATTAATGATATGCCGCACATAATGCAATCAATAACATATTCAAATACACCCACAACTTAATTCAATACAAAATACATATTCCACTACAATCATCTGCATCTTAAGTACTTCTCTAAGATATCAGATATGACATGAATGTTTACCATAATTATAAGCACCTATAAACAATTTGTAATGCACTTACCATTTCTCTTTGCATAACAACCAATCTTCATTTGCATATTAATTCCATCACCCAAAAAATAAATATACATTTGAAAACAAACCCTGTCTGCATTTATTTCACAGTTCAATTGCATCTTTATTTAATGTCTTGTGCACCATAACAATCTAAGTTATTTCTAAGTTTTTTCATCAACACCCAACAATTTTGTTTTATCTGCATTTTAACTACCACACACAACCTCCTCAAACACAAGTCAATTACACATTTAGCAACATTATTTTGCCCCAAGCAATTAACAAATAAAGTATTTACTTGCACCCTTGATTACTTCTAAGTTGCCTCAACTGCACCCCACCTATCTTAGTCTTCAAACTAAATGGTGTCTCAACTTCACTCCACCTTTAGCTACATTATTTTGCCCCAAGCAATTAACAAATAAAGTATTTACTTGCACCCTTGATTACTTCTAAGTTGCCTCAACTGCACCCCACCTATCTTACTTCTAAGTTGCCTCAACTGCACCCCACCTATCTTAGTCTTCAAACCAATCTTCAAATTTAGTAGCACACACAATTGAAGCAATTAAAGTATACATTTACTAACCATCACAGTCAGACATCAATTGTACTTGTTTCCCCTTATTAATCACCTTCTTTTTCTTTGCCATACTACTCCCAGATGGTGCTGCTTTCTTTCTCTTTTGTACAACTGTTTGGTGGTTTTGTCCAGTTCCTAATTAGTTTGTTAGATTACTTAGTACACTGTCATGAATATGCACACCAAACTACATTCATGTGCATGTTAACTACTTGTTGAAAAAACAATGTTACGATTAATGATATGCCGCACATAATGCAATCAATAACATATTCAAATACACCCACAGCTTAATTCAATACAAAATACATATTCCACTACAATCTTCTGCATCTTAAGTACTTCTCTAAGATATCAGATATGACATGAATGTTTACCAACATTATAAGCATCTATAAACAATTTGTAATGCACTTACCGTTTCTCTTTGCATAACAACCAATCTTCATCTGCATATTAAATCCATCACCCAAAATAAAATATGCATTTGAAAACAAACCCTGTCTGCATTTATTTCACAGTTCAATTGCATCTTTATTTAATGTCTTGTGCACCATAACAATCTAAGTTATTTCTAAGTTTTTTCATCCACACCCAACAATTTTGTTTTATCTGCATTTTAACTAACACACACAACTTCCTCAAACACAAGTCAATTGCACCTTTAGCTACATTATTTTGCCCCAAGCAATTAACAAATAAAGTATTTACTTGCACCCTTGATTACTTCTAAGTTACCTCAACTGCACCCCACATATCTTAGTCTTCAAACCAAATCACCTAAATTGCACCAATACGTAATCTATTTTGCACCAATAACTATTCTAATCAAAATCAATCACCATACACGAACATAAAAACCAACATTCATACTAAGATTAGTCTACTGTATTGCACCTTTACCTAATCCATTTTGCAACACCATTTTGTATAATCAGGATACTCACTCAACAAACACGTACTCCAAAAACAACATTGATATTAAGATTACTTTAATCTATTTCACCTTTACGTAAACTTATTTGCACAATACTTAATCTAATCATTAACACCCACCAACCACGAACACACAAACAAACATTCTCGGTGCAAAATGCCCTTTTCCCTCAAATTCAATTCCATATTATTAATTAACAATTACACATTACTAACTTCAACAAAATCCAAAAACACATTACATATGCAGTCCATCACAAATGCATGCACACATTCCTCTTTGTGCATCTAACATACAACATCCTCCATGCAAACATATTAATTTGAACAACAGAACTACCTTCTTCGCACGCCAAAGCAGCTTGTCGCAAAGCATGTTCTTCTTGAACTGAAGCCATTTGCGCAAATGGAATTTCACCGGTCGTTGATCTTCATAAATGACGTTCTTCGTCTACACTGAAGCTTTCGCCGCTCTCAAGCAAATATTTCGGCTTCTCAGACTTTGCTAGTTGGAGCATTAAACAACCTGTGCATCTTTCCTTAATTTGATTTGCTATACATGGGCGGTTGGAATCTAAGTGGGGATTATGCGCAATACCGATTTCCTTCCTTTTCCGTATTATGGCGGTTCCATTTAAAAAAAATCAAATGACATCTTTATCCCTAATTACTAAACGGGTTTTCTAATATCCGTTCCCCTACTTCGCAGATCATGAAACAAAACGGTGAGGAACATGTTTTGGGCCACTGATTTGCCTAAATTGGACGCATTCAATTAATTTGCATTTTGTATGGAGAGAAGTGTTTGTATGTGATCTCTTCCCTATTTACATATATATATATATAGGGAGGAGATCCCATGCTAACTAGGCTTCCAGTGCAAACTACAAACTAATGCCAGCCGTTGGATTGAAGGAAACGGACAACTTTCAGATTGGGATGCATCATTAAATTATGGACTCACACACAGGGAATTAAAAACGTAACCAACCACTTCTACACGCGCATTTAATTGTGGAGGTTAGGGAAGTCATTTCCCAAACAAAAAAGGAAGCCGGGAAAATCAAACTGTCGATTAAGTTTGGCAAACCCTGGTTTCACGATTCAAAGCCACGATTAGTAACAACTGAAAACACTCTTCTTCTTCCTCTGCAACTACCATCGAATTTTGAATCTGAAGCAAGGAATTTGTCAACGTTTCCACCTAATCCGAGTTCAGCGAAGGCAAGGCGAGTGACGATAGGAGGCCATGGCTTCGCTGCAAATGGAACACCTGTTGCGTGAGATCGAAAACGAACTTGAAGAAGAAGGTACTTGTGTTACTCCTTGGTCTGTTCGATATGGTTGCATGTTTACTTCAAGTACTTAACTGCATCTTACTAACAAATGTGTAATGAATAATGGCTGATTACAAGTTGGAATTGCAATATAGAGTCGGATATAGTTGTAAAACTCTGTTATTGAACAATTTTTTATGCATAATGTCATATTAATGTATGTCATGGTTATTTGATGCAAGTGTTTTGCTTACAACATGAAACACTGTCATATCAATAATGCATGATTTTCATTCAATACAAAGTTAGAGGTAGAAGGTTTTTTACATGCTAGTGTGAATGAAGTTAGGTGCAACAGGATTGAAAATGAGGAATGTAGATCAATTATATATACATTGAAAGACTTCATGCAAGAGTTGTAGTTGTATGATGCAGGGAGTTAGGTATTTGCAATTGGCATGTGAAACTGTTTTAAGATGCAGTAGTGATTTTTTTAAGATGCATGGTTTGTGTTAGTTTGATTGGAAGTTTAAAGTGAAGTAAGATGCAGTAGTTTTATGATGAATAATCTGTGATTAGATGAGGATATACATTGTATTGTTGTAATTTTAGCTGAAAATAGATTTCAAACCAAATTAGATGAAAGTTGTTTATATGCAACATGATTGTGATTTTAAAAAGTCTCGGTGCAGCATGTGTAGTTGTAAGATGCATTTGTTGTGCTAATTGCACTTTGCATTAATATTAATGTCAAGGTGCAGAACGTCAGGTCAGTCTTCTGAGATGAATAATTGTAATGAATTTGTCTTGTGTTTGTGATTCATATAGATGCATAATTATATGCTACTAGATGCATTAAAAGATAACTGCAAATGAAAGTGTGACAATAGTGTGATGCATATTAGTAGTTCAATATTCACACAAATTAGATGCAATATGTGGAAGTTTAAGATGTAGTAGTTGTGGTTATTGTAGTTGGAATTCAAAAAAAATTGAGAATGCATAATTAATATGTGTAAGATGCATAAGTTTAAGAGACAATATGCAGTTTTTTATGAATATGACTTGTGCTTGTGAGTTATATAGATGCACTTTTATATGGCACAAGATGCATTTAATGAAGCAAGTGTTTGGCTTCTTATTAAATGCAGGTATAAGAAGTGCAAGTGTTGTAGAAATAGCATGCTAAATTCTGAAATGTATATTCATGATTATTATTTTAAAAAGAAAACGAAACCTATTTGGTTTAACATACAACTTTCGGTGCAACATTTGTTGTGTTTATTGCACTTCAAATTTAAGAATGATGTTTTATGCATTAGTATTATTGTGAAGATGCAGTAGGCCACTTTTTGTAGATGAGTATTTGTAATGAGTTTGTCTTGTTCTTGTTATTAACATAGATGCATAATTATATGTTACAGGATGCATTCATATATAAGTAAAATTGAAAGTGTGACAACAGTGTGATGCATATTAGTGGTTCAGTATAGACAAAAAATAGATGCAATATGTGGAAGTGTAAGATGTAGTAATTGTGGTTATTGTAGTTGGAATGCAAAGGAATTTGGTGACGAATAATTATGTGTAAGATGCATAAGTTTAAGAGACGATATGCAGTTTTTTTTATGAATATGACTTGTGCTTGTGAGTGATATAAATGTATATTTTGATGCATTTAACCAAGCAAGTTATTACAGTTTTCATAATAGTTAGATTATGAATTGTGGTTGTGAGCCATGTAGTATTGCTTACATTTTGAAGCAGTTAAATTCTGGTTTTCGTATGTGACTAGCTCCAAAGTTTCATGTACATATAATAGAAAATCAAAACGAGCATCAAGTGTTAGGAAAAAAAAGAAAGCAAGAAGGCGCATCCACAAGCAACTTGCAACAAAACAAAAAGGCTAAAGGGAAGACGAAAAAGAGCAAAGGTTAAAAAACTAACTTTTTACGTATAAGATTCATTTGTAATTCTGTAAGTATAATTTTAATTATTCTATTACATTAATTAGGAAGAGACGCTCCTATGATGAATATGCAGCATGATGATGCACAAAGAAAAGAAGTGAGAGGCAAAGGCAAGTTAACAAATTCAAGTTTAACTTTGTGAATTTTAATATCATAAATTCAGATTGTTATGTACTGATATAAATGTGTAATGGTAACCATGTAGGTGTGAAAGATAGTGAAAGACTATCACTGACCATGAGGAGGAGGACTAGGAGCATGATGCAGTCAAAAAGTGATGATCATGCAGAAAAATCACAAAATGATGATGAACAGCTGAAGACAAAAAATACTATGAGTGACAGTGACGAAGCTTTTGAAAGTCCTCCTAAGTCTCTAAAAAATGTAGGTGGTGCAGTTAAACATCAAAGAAAGAAGCAACACAAGAAAGGTGATTATAAGGAGATCAAGGAAGAATATACAAGTTTGTACAACAGATCATTACCAAATGTGATTGTCAATGCAATATCAAAGTTTAATGACAAGCAAAGAGAAGAGGTCATTAATATAGGTTTTGGAGCAATGTTGCAGCTACATATCCAAGATTTGCCTTTAAGACTTGGATATTGGATTGTAGATAACTTTGACCCAAGGAGTTGCACACTAAAGCTGAATGGTGACAAACTTCATGTGACAGACGAGGATTTTGAGAATGCACTAGGATTCCCTCGAGGAGAAGAAACTGTAGTGAAGAAACTGAAAAAAGAGAAAAGTGCTCTGGCAGATGAGTGGAGGGCTTTATTTGGTGCAAAGGAAAAAATTACTCCAACCGAAGTGGCCAAAGCAATGATAAGCTGCACGAATGGTGGTGAATGGTTTGTGAGACATTTTGTCATCTTATTGATATCTTCATTGATTGAGAACACAAAGAGCGGGTATATAAACTATCAGTTCATAAATTGCTTGCAAGACACAAAAGCAATTAAAAATATGAACTGGTGTGAATATGTCATAACCGCTCTAGTGAATAAGAAATTGGAATGGGAAGAAGGTAAAGACAAAGCTTTCACTGGTCCATTGTTGTTCTTAGTGGTAAGTTTGTGCTATATAATGTTGGGAGTGAGAAGTAGTAATTGCATATGACATCTAACATGGTTGTTATTCATATTTATTTGCAAGTTCTTTATGTTGATAGGATGGTATTATTGTATCGAAGGAAAGTAGTAAGGAACTGGCCTGCTATAATTGGATGGACATCACAATTACTTAGGGAGAGAGAAATAGAAGAAATAAAAGCAGGCGGTTTTGGTCTCGGATATTTGGATGAGAAGATGCAGAAGAGGGGATTGACAGTAGAAGAAATGAGTGCTGATCAAAATAAGGTGCACCAATTAGAAGTGGAAGGTGCACAGAACGGTGAAACATCAAGAAGGGAAAACACACAAGAGGTAAACTAATAATTCATAGATGGCATTTTTTAAAAATGAATCTAATGTCTTATAATGCAGGAGTTTCTGGAAAGATTTGCTGTGAAAACAAAGTTGTTAGCTACGACAACAATTGAAATAATGAATATGGTAGAAGAAGCTCCACAAGTGCTGCAAGGAAATGAGAACTTCAAGAAAATTGTGGAGGCTACTAATAAGCTACTTGGGGTAGCCCAAAAGCAAGCACAAAATGCTGAAACAAATGCAGCAACACCGGAGCAGCAGTTTTATGATGAAGAGGTTGAAAAGTTTTGGTCAAGTCCAAGAAACATCCAAGCTTTGGTGCAGATGGAGTCTGCCTTTGTGAGAAGATCGCAATACATAAAGAAGATGGATGGCAAGCCCAGCTTCAGTCTAGGACTGACTCAAGAAAATGGATATGAAGCTACGGGCAGCGGTGTTAACACGGTTGCGGAAGAGAATACAAGAGAGGCTGCTGTATTGGAGTTTCATCCATTTGAGAAAGAAATAGAGGTAATAATAGAGAGTGTGATAAAGTTTTTTTATATAATTTAATTATTAGTTAAATTATTGTGAAAAACACTGAAGTGATGTTTTATGTGCAGCAAGAGATGAGTAAAGATGCAGTGGAGGTAGATAATAATGCAGACAATTTGCATGAAGCAGATATGGAGATTCATCCATTTGAGAAAGAAAGAGAGGTAATAATAGAAGAAATAAAGTTTTCTTTTATAAATTAATTAATAGTTAATTTATTGTGAAAAACACTGAAGTGATGTTTTATGTGCAGCAAGAGATGAGTAAAGATGCAGTCGAGGTGTATACTAATGCAGACAACTTGCATGAAGAAGAGGTAGAATTATTATGAGTAACATATTGAAAATGCGGTATGGTCATCTTACATTAAAATTGTGTCAATATAATTTGATGAAAATCGCAGTATGTACAGGCATCAGATGCAATAGCAAAGGTGCAAGAAGAAAAGAGAATTCAAAGAGCAGCTGCAACATTGAAGTCACCCTACTTAAAAAGGCTTATCGATCCTCTTGAAGGTCTCAATGCTAATGAACGTGCTGCAGTTGCATGGTTATTTATAAACAAGAAGGCTGATAGGTAAGTGATTGTAGTTATAATGGATGTTATTGGTCATGTTATTTTGTGTAAGACACAATGAAGTTGGTTTGAAAAGAAATTGAAATTACAACATCCTTTTTTTGATTGCATGGTACAACTAATTGTATTGTATGTTAACAGGAATGAGATTGTGTTCAAAAAGGCATTCTGGTTGCAAGTTACACGTGATGAGATGGTGAGCTTAAAAGAAAAGTGCCATATTTCAGCTGCTGTACTAAATGCATGGTCTTTCATTCTCAATGTGATTGAAAAAGATAGAAGCAGTGATTCTCCTGCCCGATTATTTGCAAAGCCATACCCTTGTGTGAGTGCAAATTAAGAAAAGAGACAGTTTTGTGTCCAGTTAAATTATATACACAAAATAATTGTTATATTTGTTACTAATGCAATTGAATTGGTGTGCAGCTAGACACCCAGGTTGATCTTGGTTTAAATGCTAAGGATGCATACACACTGTTTCAAGCAGCACTTGACTTTGGATGGGCATTGGTCCAACAACATACTGCAGTAGCACATATTGATCTGGTAAGGGTCAATATATGTAAGGGTCATAAAGAATTGAATATATGGTGTTATATATGTAAAAGTTCTAACACGAAAATGTGGTGCAGTTTTTTTTTCAATAATGCAATATCATCATGCATACATCATATGTGTGAATACCAAGCTAAAACGTGTGGATATTCTCGATAGCTCATCAGCCGGGGTATCAAACGCAAACAAGTATGGAGACATGCCAGAAAAAGTGGTAATAAAACTTGATTTTAGTTATATATGTAATATATATATTAATAATGTCTATATTCTTACAACTGAGTGAGATTCATATAATAAAAGCTATTCTAAAACTGTGTTCCAGATTGGTATGTTTGTGAAATACTTGGAGTCAAAGAAAATGTTACAAAAAGCAAATACAGTGCGCAAATTGAAGGGTAAGCGACTACCCATGTCTTGGAGAGATCCCAAAGATGTGTATGACTATGGGGTCTTGGCAATGCGACATATGGAAACTTATCGTGGAGAAGGGTTGCTGGGTTGGAGTATAGGATTGAACAGACAGGATAGCAAAGAACTTGGTGCATTAAGAAGAAAGTATGTTGCAGCCATTTTACTACACGAAAGCAATGACCTTATGCAAGAAATCATGATGAATGCCAAACAATTTGCAAAGATAACTAAAGCAGAAAGGTTGAATGCAGCATAGAGGGGATTTGTTATCTCAAACATTTGGTTTTTGTTAAGTTTGATCTGAAAAATTTATTGTGTCGTTTGTTTTTGTGTGGGTGGACACGTGCAGGGGCGGATTGGGCCTTAGGCCAGGCAGGGCCTAGGCCCATGCTGATTTTTTTAAACTAGTATAGGTGTTTAAAAATTAGGCCCAGTCTCAATTTTTAAAAAATCAGGCCCAACCTGAATTTTGAAGTCCAAAAAACAAAGAGTCCGTTTCTTTTCTTTGTTTGTCGGCTAAACAAAAAAGCCAGAGATCCGCGCCTCTGCCACTCCAAACGGCAAAACGAAAAACGCAAAACGCAGAGTCCGTTTCTGGTCTGCTGCGGCCTGCACTGCGGCAAAACGCCTGCGGCTTGCGCCCTGCATCGCCTGTCCGCCTGCTGGCTGCTGCGGCCTGCACTGCTGCAGCTCTGCGCGACAGCGCCGACTCCGCCGAGAAGACCGTGAGGCGAGAACGGCGAGAAGCCGAGAAGTAGCTGAGCTCTGCGCCGACTCCGCCCGACCGCCCCAGGCGCCCCTGCCGCCGACTACACTTCTGCAGCTCTGCACGACTGCAGTCACTGCACCTCTGCTTGACTAGTTGACAGGTATTTTTTTTAAACTTTTATTAATTGTGAACTTTGTGTAAAATTGTGAATTTGATTATTAATTGTGAACTTGTAAATTGTGAATTTTAAACTTTGCTTGATGTGAAATTGTGAATTAGATTATTAATTGTGAACTTGTAAATTGTAATCATCATTTGTAGTATGTATTTGCTTGTGACTTGTAGCCTTGTAGGTGTTCTAATTAATCTAATTATTAAGTTAATTAATATTCGTGTTGTAAGTAGTCATCCCGTTATTTTCAACATAGGTAAATAGGTAATGAAGAGATACTATAACCCTGTTGAAGAAAAAGCTAATGAAAGTAGCTCATCAAAAATTGTAGTGTCGGCTGTGCCGTCAACTACAATTCAAGAAAACTCAACAACAAATGACGAAGAGCATACAATCAGTCGCCGCTAATGAGTTTGATGCTTCCCAACTTTCATCTGACCCTGGATTGAGAATACCGATCTCAAGGTATCATCCAAATATTAGAGATCAAGTTCGAAGAGCATATTTGCAGAAAGGCCCTTGTCAACCATTTGAGCATGACTTCCCAATGAAGATGGTTTCTGCAAATAAATCAAGAAGATTTGTTCTGACTTGGTTTACTGAACATGAATGGTTGGAGTATAGCATATCTAAAGATGCTTCTTATTGTTTGTATTGTTACCTTTTCAAACCCAACAAAGGGAAACAATCAGGAGGAGATGTGTTTGTTTCAGAGGGATTTAGCAGTTGGAAAGATAAGACCAAACTTAATGTTCATGTTGGAAAGCATGATAGTGAGCACAATCAATCTCGAATGAGGTGTGATGCATTGATGAACCAAGATGCACATATTGAGACAATTTTGGACAATCAATCAATGCAGACAAAGCATGATTATCACATTCGACTGACAGCCTCTCTTGATTGTGTGCGGTACTTGTTGAGGTTGGGGTTACCTTTCCGCGGTCATGACGAATCTGAAGACTCTCTAAACCCAGGTAATTTTCTAGTGACCATGGAATTTTTAAGAGATCATAATGTTGAGATAGCTTCTGTAGTAATGGATAATGCACCAGGAAATTGTAAACTTCTTGCACCTAGCATTAAAAAAGATTTAGCTCATGCTTGTGCTATTGAAACGGTGAATGCTATCATTCAAGATATTGGAGATTCTTTATATGCTATTCTAGTTGATGAATCCCGTGATGTATCAACAAAAGAGAAAATGTCAATTGTGATACGTTATGTTGATGCTAGTGGATATGTGAAAGAACGATTTATTGGAGTTGAACATGTCACTAGTATCACATCACTTGCACTTAAGGAAGCGATTGACACGCTATTTTGTAGACACAACTTGAGCATATCTAGATTAAGAGGGCAAGGTTATGACGGGGCGAGTAATATGCAAGGGAGGCTAAGTGGGTTGAAAACAATTATTCTTAATGAGAACCCAAGTGCATATTACATTCATTGCTTTGCGCATCAACTCCAACTTGCCCTTGTAGCTGTTGCAACAAAGAATCTTCTCATTGCTGATTTTTTTCGTGTTGTTGCTCAATTGATAAATGTTATTGGAGGTTCGTGTAAACGTTCTGACATTCTTCGTGAAAAACAATTGAACTTCATTGTTGAAGCGCTTGAAAGTGGTAAAATTTCAAGTGGAAGGGGTCTTCACCAAGAATCTTGCCTTCAGCGCGCGGGTGATACACGTTGGGGTTCACATTATAGATCTTTGGTGAGCTTGATTTCAATGTTTTCTGCTGTTGGTGATGCTCTTGACGTGATACACGATGATGACGTAACTACGTCTATGCAAAAGGTGGAGATAGAGTATTTACTCAAGATGATGCATTGCTTTGATTTTGTTCTAAATTTGCATATGATGAAATTTATTTTGGGAATATCAAATGAGTTGTCTCATGCTTTACAAAGGCGTGACCAAGATATTATCAATGCAATGGATCTTGTTAGAGTTTGCAGGTACAGACTTCAAGCTTCTAGAGATGACAGATGAGATTCATTGTTTGAGGAGGTTTGTAATTTTTGTGATCAACATTCTATTGATATCCCAAACATGAATGACACATTCATCCGTTTTGATTCTCGAGGTCGCCCCGTACGTAAAGGACCAACTCTTACTAATTTGCATCACTATCGCTATGATCTATTTTGTGCTGTGATTGATTTGCAACTGCAAGAGTTGGGTGATCGCTTTTCAGAAGCTAGTACGGAGTTGCTACTATGCATTGCTTGCTTATCTCCACGAGATTCATTTTCTGCTTTTGAGAAGAAGAAATTGCTTAGATTGGCCGAGTTTTATCACCAGGATTTTTCACCATTAGATGTTTGTATTCTCACTGATCAACTTGAAAGTTATATCTCTTATGTGCGCTCTAATGCTTTTTTTAAGGAGCTCAATGGACTTGGTGACCTTGCAGAGAAGTTGGTAGAAACTAAGAAGCACAAGGTGTTTCCTTTAGTTTACAAGTTGTTGACATTGGCATTGATTCTTCCTGTTGCAACCGCTAGTGTTGAAAGAGTATTTTCAGCAATGAATATCGTGAAAGATAGGTTAAGCAACCGGATGAGTGACGACTGGCTCAATGATAGACTTATTGTTTATGTGGAAAAAGACATCTTCTTGAAAAATGACAATGATGTCATTATCAAACGATATCAATCGATGAAAACCCGTAGAGAACAGTTGTAAAATTATGATGTTTTTGTATTTGACTTTAATGCAAACTTTTGTTCCTATAATCTTTATTTTTGTTTTTGATTTTGTTGCTAGATTTTTTTTTTTTTGAATATTCATTTTTAATTACATTTTGGCCCCACCTGGATGCCAAAGCTAGATCCGCCCCTGGACACGTGTTGAAGTTCTTACATGAGATTAGTACGGAAACATATGTTAGGATGCATCGTATCAATATTGAATGTTTTGTGTGGGAATGTGAAATCCAAACACTTATTTTACGTGGAATGAAGTTTTATTTTCAGTTAATATGCATATTTATACCTTGTTTAATGCATTGCAATGAGCTAGTATGCATCATTTTGCATTTCTTGTGTATATAGTATAGCAGGACTATGCATCCTTACATGCAACTTCATTACCTGTAAGATGCACTCCGATGAGTTATAATATGCACCGTTCATTTTTTTGGAATATATAAAATATAAGCGCAGTCTAGTGTGTTAATAGTGTTAACATGAATTTATAAAAACGTTTCTTATAAAAATCCAACTTTGTGATGAATATGATTATATTAAAGATTATATGGTCTATAAGGTGATATTGAAGACTGAAATATGCATTACATGGGATACAATGATGCATAAATGAGCATTAATGGAAATGCTAAACGTGCACTAATAAACCCAATGATAATAACAAAACTTTGAAAACATACACTACAAAACCAATAACATAAAACTATATTAATTTCCAACAGACAGTCGTCATTGTAATGTCAAACAACAAAAATTGCAAACATATACTTTAACTTCAAGCAAGCCTATTTATTCAAAGGGCAATTTCTACTATCGTGATGCCCCATCTCATTGCATGATCTACAAAGTCTTTTGGGGCGTTGGGATTCATCCATTGAAACTTCCTTGGAAGACCTAAGCCTACGTCCAGAACCCTTATTTTTCGCCTGCTGCGGGGGATGAACAGTGACTTCAGATGGCACACCAGAACCATAAAATGATTCAATTAATGAATTCTTTGTTGAACACTGACCAACACCTTCATGTAGAGAAAGTAGAATTTGCTTTTGCTGTTTAATTATACATGAAAATTGCTTCAAATAATTGGGATTATTTTCAACAAGGGCCATACAAGCATATATGTCAGACCAAAGAGTGTTAACAGACATCTTATTATCCTCCAACAATGAAGTCTGTTCTAATACGGAATCCGAAATTTCAGTGAGTGGCTTCACTAGACCCTTCTTGCACCATCTGCTATTAACCAAATGGTTCGGAATGCGTTCCAATTTCAAGTCCTTTAGAACAAAAAATATGTGTCTACAAACCATGCCAATCCGCTCATAATACTTACAACTGCACACTGCCTTCATATTTGACATGCTCAAGTCAACTCTAAACACCAAATTACGATCATCGGAAATTTCATACTCAAAATCACCATCAACACCATGCACATGCAAAACACGACATGAAAAGCACGCTGAACACAATTCCGACTGAATATCATAAAAGACAGCGAGTGTGAATACATCAGACGCAGCCTTCTCCATAGATAAAGGAGTCTTCAAAACTGGAAGGTAGGACTCTGACTCTGAATTCAATTTATCTTGTGCATGCCTTTGTGCATCCATTGCACTCTCAAATTGCATTAAAAATTCTATTAAACTGAAATGTGGGTTAGTAAATTCACGGAAAAAGGAATTCTCACTTTCAGACCGTGATGTTGTACGAAGTAATCCAGCCATAAATAGATCTCTAAAATAAGAAGGTATCCACCAATAGCGCAACTCAAACATATGGACAAACCAATCATGTTTTGTCAATTCGTATTCGTTCATGAGAGAGATCCACTTTTCTTCAAATTGAGATGGTTCAAGGTAATGACTCCAAACTATTGAATTCAATGAAGACATAAATGTTTCATTTTTGCTTAAAACTGGGCCAACCTTTTGAGTGACTTTGGACATAATATGCCACATACAATAGCGGTGTTTGGATGATGTAAATACCTTCTCAATGGCAATACGCATCGCTGGATCTTGATCAGTAATAATGCATGTTGGTTGACGTCCCATAGCATTTATAAAACAAGTAAAAAGCCAAACGTATGACTCCACATCCTCCTTCAATAATAATCCAGCTCCAAAAGTGACACACTTTCTGTGATTATCAACGCCCGTAAAAGGTCCAAACACCATATTGTACCTGAACATATAAGAAGGAAACTATGTTAAGCAACAATAAACTCTTTGGTGCATAAGCTAACAAAGAAATATGCAAGTTATTATGCTGTGTAGTGCAACAAAAACACAGAATATATAAAGTCGAATTCCCAAAAAACAGAATATAACAGAAACAAACCTATTCGTTCCATAGGTAGCATAAAATGAAACAACATCACCAAACAATGCATAATTCTTGCGGCAAATAGGATCAGCCCAAAACAACCTTGTTAATTGGTCACTATCATTCACATCATAGTCAAAAAAGAAAGCAGAAGACACCTCTTGCTTCCTGAATAATTTGTCAATGACAATTTGGGCATCAACACCAGCTATATAAGCCATAAGATCACGCTTGAAATTCTTGAAATCCACAGCTGTAGCACCAATATTAGAATATCCCCCAACAGTCTCCTTATATAGCCGATATGACTTCATTGTGCCAATATTTGCTCTAAAACAATTTAAAACAAACTTCTGATGTCCAAGGTCTAAATTTCTGTTCTCCTTTAGAAATTGTTTGGATAATTCAGAGCACATCAAGTGATTGTGGCGTTGTTCAAATGCAAAAACTGAGTACCCTTTAAATCCAGAATATTTCAGAGTTAACATGGCTTTACATCCAATCCTATTAGATACTCTTTTCCTATTTGATGGGCAACCTTCAGAACCAGCAACATTGGTATCCGTCCTATTAGACACTCTTTTCCTATTTATTGGGCAACCTTCAGAACCAGCAACATTGGTATCCGAAACAGGAGGACAAGCATTATTCTTAAAACCAGCTCTACTACATACAATATACTTCATCAAAATATGCCCATCTCTCGCCTTCTTTGATGTATGATGACGTATAGTAAACCCCAACTCAGCTGCACAGTCTTTGTAAAACTTAAAGGCAGCATCTAGATTCACAAATATCATCCCAACAAGAGGTTTCTTTTCGGGTGAACATTCAGGGATCCAATACTTTGAACCCCCAGGAGAAATTTCAAAACCACAACTTTGATCTATATAAACAACAAACGATCTCTAATATTAGACATGAACAAAAACTAATAGTAAACAACAATAAAAACAGTAATTCACTAAATGCACCATACAACACAAACAAATGCATAATACATATTTTAACCTGCAGAAGACAAACCTCTAACACAAAGAGATATTTCAACAAACATTAAATTAAGTATTTAATCTGTTTACATTATTGAAGCTGCAGTTTGGAATCGTTCATAATTCATATACAATATACTACACAAAGAAAACATACCTACGAATTGAACGAAGGTAACATTAGGAACATTTAATTATGAAATTCGGTTGTGAGAAGATACATAATAACATCAACCTCTAATATATATTAGAGGTATGTTTTGATCTCTATTCTATATATATTAGAGGTTGATGTTATTATGTATCTTCTCACAACCGAATTTCATAATTAAATGTTCCTAATGTTACCTTCGTTCAATTCGTAGGTATGTTTTCTTTGTGTAGTATATTGTATATGAATTATGAACGATTCCAAACTGCGGCTTCAATAATGTAAACAGATTTGGTGATGATCTGTTGTACAAACTTGTATATTCTTCCTTGATCTCCTTATAATCACCTTTCTTGTGTTGCTTCTTTCTTTGATGTTTAACTGCACCACCTACATTTTTTACAGACTTAGGAGGACTTTCAAAAGCTTCGCCACTGTCACTCATAGTATTTTTTGTCTTCAGCTGTTCATCATCATTTTGTGATTTTTCTGCATGATCATCACTTTTTGACTGCATCATGCTCCTAGTCCTCCTCCTCATGGTCAGTGATAGTCTTTCACTATCTTTCACACCTACATGATTACCATTACACATTTATATCAGTACATAACAATCTGAATTTATGATATTAAAATTCACAAAGTTAAACTTGAATTTGTTAACTTGCCTTTGCCTCTCACTTCTTTTCTTTGTGCATCATCATGCTGCATATTCATCATAGGAGCGTCTCTTCCTAATTAATGTAATAGAATAATTAAAATTATACTTACAGAATTACAAATGAATCTTATACGTAAAAAGTTAGTTTTTTAACCTTTGCTCTTTTTCGTCTTCCCTTTAGCCTTTTTGTTTTGTTGCAAGTTGCTTGTGGATGCGCCTTCTTGCTTTCTTTTTTTTCCTAACACTTGATGCTCGTTTTGATTTTCTATTATATGTACATGAAACTTTGGAGCTAGTCACATACGAAAACCAGAATTTAACTGCTTCAAAATGTAAGCAATACTACATGGCTCACAACCACAATTCATAATCTAACTATTATGAAAACTGTAATAACTTGCTTGGTTAAATGCATCAAAATATGCATTTATATCACTCACAAGCACAAGTCATATTCATAAAAAAACTGCATATCATCTCTTAAACTTATGCATCTTACACATAATTATTCGTCACCAAATTCCTTTGCATTCCAACTACAATAACCACAATTACTACATCTTACACTTCCACATATTGCATCTATTTTTTGTCTATACTGAACCACTAATATGCATCACACTGTTGTCACACTTTCAATTTCACTTATATATGAATGCATCCTGTAACATATAATTATGCATCTATGTTAATAACAAGAACAAGACAAACTCATTACAAATACTCATCTACAAAAAGTGGCCTACTGCATCTTCACAATAATACTAATGCATAAAACATCATTCTTAAATTTGAAGTGCAATAAACACAACAAATGTTGCACCGAAAGTTGTATGTTAAACCAAATAGGTTTCGTTTTCTTTTTAAAATAATAATCATGCATATACATTTCAGAATTTAGCATGCTATTTCTACAACACTTGCACTTCTTATACCTGCATTTAATAAGAAGCCAAACACTTGCTTCATTAAATGCATCTTGTGCCATATAAAAGTGCATCTATATAACTCACAAGCACAAGTCATATTCATAAAAAACTGCATATTGTCTCTTAAACTTATGCATCTTACACATATTAATTATGCATTCTCAATTTTTTTTGAATTCCAACTACAATAACCACAACTACTGCATCTTAAACTTCCACATATTGCATCTAATTTATGTGAATATTGAACCACTAATATGCATCACACTATTGTCACACTTTCATTTGCATTTATCTTTTAATGCATCTTGTAGCATATAATTATGCATCTATGTGAATCACAAACACAAGACAAATTCATTACAATTATTCATCTCAGAAGACTGACCTGACGTTCTGCACCTTGACATTAATATTAATGCAAAGTGCAATTAGCACAACAAATGCATCTTACAACTACACATGCTGCACCGAGACTTTTTAAAATCACAATCATGTTGCATATAAACAACTTTCATCTAATTTGGTTTGAAATCTATTTTCAGCTAAAATTACAACAATACAATGTATATCCTCATCTAATCACAGATTATTCATCATAAAACTACTGCATCTTACTTCACTTTAAACTTCCAATCAAACTAACACAAACCATGCATCTTAAAAAAATCACTACTGCATCTTAAAACAGTTTCACATGCCAATTGCAATTACCTAACTCCCTGCATCATACAACTACAACTCTTGCATGAAGTCTTTCAATGTATATATAATTGATCTACATTCCTCATTTTCAATCCTGTTGCACCTAACTTCATTCACACTAGCATGTAAAAAACCTTCTACCTCTAACTTTGTATTGAATGAAAATCATGCATTATTGATATGACAGTGTTTCATGTTGTAAGCAAAACACTTGCATCAAATAACCATGACATACATTAATCTGACATTATGCATAAAAAATTGTTCAATAACAGAGTTTTACAACTATATCCGACTCTATATTGCAATTCCAACTTGTAATCAGCCATTATTCATTACACATTTGTTAGTAAGATGCAGTTAAGTACTCGAAGTAAACATGCAACCATATCGAACAGACCAAGGAGTAACACAAGTACCTTCTTCTTCAAGTTCGTTTTCGATCTCACGCAACAGGTGTTCCATTTGCAGCGAAGCCATGGCCTCCTATCGTCACTCGCCTTGCCTTCACTGAACTCGGATTAGGTGGAAACGTTGACAAATTCCTTGCTTCAGATTCAAAATTCGATGGTAGTTGCAGAGGAAGAAGAGTGTTTTCAGTTGTTGCTAATCGTGGCTTTGAATCGTGAAACCAGGGTTTGCCAAACTTAATCGACAGTTTGATTTTCCCGGCTTCCTTTTTTGTTTGGGAAATGACTTCCCTAACCTCCACAATTAAATGCGCGTGTAGAAGTGGTTGGTTACGTTTTTAATTCCCTGTGTGTGAATCCAAATTTAATGATGCATCCCAATCTGAAAGCTGTCCGTTTCCTTCAATCCAACGGCTGACATTAGTTTGTAGTTTGCACTGGAAGCCTAGTTAGCATGAGATCTCCTCCCTCTATATATATATATATATATATATATATATATATATATATATATATATATATATATATATATATATATATATATATATATATATATATATATATATATATATATATATATATATATATATATATATATATATATATATATATATATATATATATATATGGGTTCCATGGCCGAATTTTTAAAAGTAGAAAAGTTATTAGTTTCTTTTTCAACAACACTCAGCCAGAGTTGGCCATATTTTCAAATTGGGATCATATGCAGTCACGTGTCCTATGCAATAAATAAATTAATAAACGGCAACATAAAACTCCCACTACAGTGTTTGTAATAGTGGGAATGCGCCTATAACTTGGCCTCTTCTGACTCTTCCTAAGGAATGAATGAATCAATCAATCTTTCCTCATAACTGTTCCCGTTAATTAAGTAATTAAAAAAACGCCAATTTTGCGTCCCCTGAGATGGACCCTCTCACTCTGTTCTGCACCGCCGCCCTCATCGCCGGCGGCGTCTACTGGTTCGTTTGCATTCTGGGCTCCGCCGAGCAGAAAGGCAAGCGTGCCGTGCACCTCTCCGGCGGCTCCATCGACAAGGACAATGTGCAAGACAAGTACGACCAGTACTGGTCCTTTTTCCGCCGCCCCAAGGAGATCGAGACGGCCGACAAGGTCCCCGCCTTCGTCGACACCTTCTACAACCTCGTCACCGATATTTACGAGTGGGGGTGGGGCCAATCTTTCCACTTTTCCCCCTCGATTCAGGGGAAATCGCATCGCGACGCCACGCGCCTCCACGAGGAGATGGCCGTGGATCTGCTCGGCGTGAAGCCCGGCAGCCGCATTCTGGACGCCGGCTGCGGCGTGGGAGGCCCGATGCGCGCGATTGCCGCCCACTCCGGCGCGAAAGTCGTGGGCATCACCATCAACGAGTACCAGGTGAAGCGGGCCAGGATGCACAACAAGAAAGCCGGGCTGGATTCTCTGTGCGAGGTCGTCTGCGGCAACTTTATGCAGATGCCGTTCCCGGACAGCAGCTTCGACGGCGCGTACTCGATTGAGGCCACCTGCCACGCGCCGCAACTGGAGGACGTGTACAGGGAGATCTACAGGGTATTGAAGCCGGGATCCATGTACGTTTCGTACGAATGGGTCACAACCGAATCGTTCCAACCCGAAAACCCGGAACACGTCGAGATCATCCACGGGATTGAGAGGGGGGACGCCCTGCCGGGGCTCAGAAGTTACAAGGACATCCCGGAGGTCGCCAGAAAAGTGGGTTTCGAGGTGGTTAAGGAAAAGGATTTGGCAAAGCCGCCGTCGAACCCGTGGTGGACGAGGCTGAAAATGGGTCGGATCGCTTACTGGAGAAACCATGTCCTAGTGACCATACTGGCATGGCTCGGAATAGCCCCCAAGGGGGTGGTGGATGTCCATGAAATGCTCTTCGTCACGGCTGACTATTTGACCAGAGGAGGAGAGACCGGGATATTCACTCCAATGCATATGATTCTGTGCAGAAAACCTGAAGAGGCCATCTCTACTCCTGCCCCAGTTTCAGATTAGCAGCAGCAGATGGAGGTTAATTTAGTTTCTACCTGTTATCTGCTTTCTTCTTTGGTTATGAATGAATGTGTTTATTTTCAATGTGGGTTTGTCTGGTTTAACTTATCAATTGTTGTAGTGTTATCAAATTTTCTGCCTTGAATTGCTGGATTCAGATTTCTTATCCAATGTCATATTCGAATTTCTTGGGCCTGAAATAGAAAGGAGCAATCTTTAGTACTACATGTTTTTACAAGGAAAGGGCATCTTTTTTCCAAGAAGTTTCATCAAATCATAAAGGAGCAATCTTTAGTACATGTTGTTAGAAGGAAAGGGCATCTTTTTTCCTGGCAGTATCATCAAATCATAAAAGATGCTTTTTTAAAAGTGTTTGCATGCGTGGAGAGTGACCCTAGAAAATTCAAATACACAATTGGATCTCTCATCTCAGAAGAAGGAATAGTCGACCCAAGATGCTTCCACATGGCCACACCAGACTTAGAAAGTGGAGGAAGGGTAAATGAAGTTTTAACCTCACACCATTTTTTTTAAAGGATTGGTTCACAGTTTGGTGTCTATGAGGGTTGCTTTACCATTTTGAATGAAACTCTCACACATTAGTTGTTTGAATTTGAGACCCTAACTCAAACAACCCCGTTGAGAACGTGTCAACCAGCCCGTGCGAGTACACACTCAAATCTCTTTGATTGTTGAGTGAGGCTGATTGCATGTTGTTTTCTACTCCCTCTGTCCCTTAACTTAGCCAAGTTTGATCGGAAAAAGAGAAAGTGACAAGGTTAGTTGAATAACTGGAAAAGAAATTCATAAAATTTTAGTGGACGAATGAAGTATATCATTAGTTGGGCTCATATTGTGTTGAATGTTAAAAGGATGTTGTCTTTTAAAGCGGAAGTTTATGTTTGAGTTTCATCAAGTCCATATGGTATAATTGTTGAAAATGTATTGGATGTTGTAAAATAAATTTTGTTAAATGTAATAAATGATCGTCACATATGATATATCCTATTAACAAATATTCACAGCCTTTTGGGGTCAAATACTCACACTTTACATTGGATTAGTTGGGTAAGAGTCACACTTCACTTGAACTTAATTTTTTGTTAGTCTTTTTTTATTTGATATGTTTCAATCTCGTGTGATAAAGGTGTGAGATACATGTATTTTACTACTACATATTGTATAACACTATTTGATTTTGATATCTTTTTGAACATAACTGAGCCATTTCAGTCACTCTACATCCAGCATTGGTGACAAAAAATCTTATTTAAACTTGTATTTGGCTCATGAAGATTAATATATACTCCCTCCGTCCCAAAAACAACTTCACCGTCACTATTTATTGGTCAACTTGAATCACTCCTAATCTTTTATTTTACATATCAAATTTTGGTCAAATTTTAATTTTCTTGATCAGCCTTTGTAGCGATTTTAATGTAGTTCCTGAATATGTAAATTTTATTTACTAAAAATAATCTGAGTGTGAACAGGGATCAAATTGCTTTATCGTTAGTCAAACATCGTAAACCGAACGGGAAGTTAATTTTGGGACGGAGGTAGTATATATATAGAGAGAAATGATCCTGTCCAGCACTTCCAGGTTCGAACGCCGTTTGAACACCGTCATTTGGAATGATTACCGGTGGAATTTTTTGATGAAATTTTTTGAGCATGTTCTTGATCAATTTTAGTTTATCCACCCAAGAAAATCAGCTCAAATACCGATAGTAGATAGCTTGATGCCTTGATCATGTTTATTCGCGAATCCCGACCCAACCTTAGTTGGCTCTCCAGTGCCATGTGAATATTTGAAACTGAACAAACTCTAATGAGTCTAATCATGACATTTAAATAATAATAATAATAATAATAATAATCTATGTCCCATAAAATTCTTCTCACTTTCCTTTTTGGGTTGTCCCTCAAAATTCTTTCCACTTATCATTTTTGGACAACTTACGTGGTTCACATTCATTTCACTTTTTTCTTATACAACCACACATTTCCATTTTATTCCACTTTCTTGATATCCGTGCCAAGTCAAAGTTGGAAGAATTTTATAGGAGAGAGAGTGATACGTGATGAATGAACACTGCACGTGATTGAGTGAGCTGTGACTAACAAATAAAGTCGATTTCTCGTGAAGTCGTTTTGTGGTCCCCCTGAGTAGGAACTTTGGTCGGGTGGAAATTCACGTTCATATTTTCTTATCATTAAGTCAAAAGTCTTGGTCGGTCTATCACTGAGCTTTTATACTATGCTATTCTTATGACCATCATTAAATGTATGGTAAAACAATAGAAAAACTTAATGCCTCATATCCTGGAATCTCAATCATCCACCAATGTTCTAAACAAAGCGCGAATAAGGATTCTTAAAATTAGAGTTCAATTTTTTTTTTATTACCCAGTTTCTATTTAATGCAATAGGTCTGCTCTTTAAATAAAAAAAATAAGTTCCTCAGTTTGGAGAGAGACAGGCTGTTTTATGACTAACAAACAAACTCTAATAAGGTACACAAGGTAGGAGTATTAAAAGGGAATCAAATTCGCACGAGTAGCTCAGTTGGTTGAATGGTGAGAATGTTAGAAGAATGATCACAGATCGAATCCCGCAGCGGCCGTGTGGATGTTACAACTCCTGCGTGTTAGGCTGGACCTCTGGTGCGCACGGATACAAGGTTTACCATCATTAAGTTGACTGAGTCACTGTGACTTAGAATCTCTCAAAAGTCTTGTCGGATCGGGACGTGAGGGTCCTTGGGGTTGAGGATTAAACCATTTGGAAGAATTAAAAGAGAGAAATAATGTCACAAGTAAGACCGTAGACTTTCATCTAGACAAAAATAAGACCAGGTTTACATTGAGACAAAAAAAGAGACTAAAAATGAATGAAGAGACTAAATCACCCCTCGCTCAAAACCCTGCCATCTACTTTCTCCATCGATACCTTTTCCTACGACCTTCTTCATCATCCATGGTACACCGCCTCCTCTCACCTTGTCGTCATCGCCTTCACCACTTCTCCCCTCTTCGTCACTGTCACCTCTCACTGACATTAGTGTCTCCTCCATCGTCTTTGCCAACTCATGGTCACCATCGTCGTCGTCGTCGTCCCTGTGCACCGTCGCCTCATCCAGGTCCATCTTCGTCAGTTTACTCTTCTTCTACTTTCTTCTTCTCAAGAATCGATTGTTGATTTTCGTTCAATTTGTATGGAGAAGTTGAACGACGATTGGTGTGCTAGGGTTTGGTGTTTAGATGGCGGACGGTGGTGGCGGTACAGAGGCACCATCGGTGAACCTGTTTGTGGCGGCTAGGGTTCACAGATCCGACGCAGGGGCGGCGGCTACGCTGGGGTTTCAAGGGTGTGGGTTTCTTGGGGGCTGTAGAGGGGGCATGAGCGCTGGACTATGGCTGTTGTGGAGGGGGTTGGGCTAGTGGCCACCAGGTAGGGCCAGGGACTGGTCACTGGCGGCAGCAGGGACTGGTCAGTGGAAGCGGTGGTGGACATGTCACTGGAAACGGCGGTGGCAGAATGGTCACTATGACGGAGGTCACTGAATGATATGTCACTGAACGGTAGTCACTATAGGGTTGGTCACTCACGGTGGCCGGCGGAAGTCACTATGACGGAGGTCACTGAATGGTATGTCACTGTGACGGACTAGGTCACTGTTTGATAAAGTCACTAGGGGTCAGGGGTAATTTAGTAAGTGTAATGTTAATTAGTCACATTTTTGGAAATTAAAGAGAAAGTTAATTTTTTGTCCATTTAGTAATTTTTAGTAATATTGGTGACCTAACCCCTAAAAGAGAATCAAAGTGAAAATGGTTTATTTACCTGTCTGAAATTTTGTCAGTTAAATTTAAATTTTCTCCCTCTTCGAAATGACAGTCCTATTGTTTTTGGGAGCAAATAGTGAGAAAGGGTGTTAGAATGGCCTGTTTTACCCTTACTCTTTGTATTGTCCACATTCATTTCCTGCAATTTATAAAGTTGCTAATGGGCTTTCTTTTACTGCCTACAATAGTTCCTGAACTAGCTCCTTTCTTTCCCTTTTATTCAAATAAAAAAGGTGGAGTCGCTCGCCCGATGCATGCACCCTCACAATCCGACCCGAAAAAATAACGAAGAAGTAAGTCATGGTATTATCTCAAATGATTTCTGAGTGAGGTGATTCAAAGCCTGGTGCGCACAAAGAGCTACTATATTGGATGAAACTCTTCACTGTCGGATATTGAACTTAAGACCTCAATCCAACAACCTCAATCAGTCACTGCTGAGCTACTCGTGCGGGTTTCTTTCCCCTTTACATCCACATTGCATACAATCTTATGAGATTCAAAGATGACATAAGTTTTGGAGAAAATGGTTTTACTTTTAACCATTTCCCTCCTTGAATGTTATTCATAACGGGGAAGCTAGAGCCCAATAAAGAGAAGAGCTACATTTCTAGTATTCAAAATACATAAAAGTTTAAAGTTATATTATTCATTGCACAACTACTTTAGATTCAGCACAATTTCATCTTCGTTAATGCCAAGCTCACCCGAATTACCTGCACGAAGAAGCAAACTGCCAACTTTACAAAGAGAACAAATAAAGGATTTCTTCTTTGAAAAATATTGATTCTACCGGCCAACTTCAACATGGGGCTATACAATTTAAAAACTGCCCAACAGTTAAAATATACGCAAGAACAATTTTTAGGCTTTGGGGTATTGTAAATATTTAGTTACACAGTGAGAAGGCCAAGGGCATTTATGTCCCTCACAAATTAACTCAAAATATTTAGTTTCAAGGATATATTGTGACACTCCAAAAATTTAAATAAAAATAAAAATAATTTTTATTAGTCAGATAAAATGTCATTAATGTGACTCTCCAAAAATTTAAATAAAAATAAAAATAATTTTTATTAGTCAGATAAAATATTACGGAAATGACATTTTAATTATTAAGTGAGTCAAACAAAAATTCAACAGATGTGACATTCTAACCAGATAAAAATTTCCAAATTTACGACGTGTTATTCTGACAAAAATGGTCCGATAATAGAAGTAAAATTTTTATGATAATTATGAAAGTGACATTTTATTAAATGCTGAACACTTAAAAATAGGTGTACGATTTTACACATAAAAACAATGTTTATACAAAATCTAGGATAATATATTGTACATATATATCCGGACTGCACCCTCCATAATAA